CATACACACACACAAGTCAATCATATTCACACTGCCGCTCGTTCATTAGACTCTACATCATAAAATGGAGAACGCAGCATCCAGGGCAAAAAGTTTATTGTATATAGTAAAAAACACACAAAAGAAAAGAAATCACACCTAAGTATGGTGAATTTACCATAAACCATGTTGCGATCAAAGAAGAAGAAGAAAAAAAAACACATCAGAAAGATTATTCTGCCTTGGGATCCTGTCTTTGAGCTGGGCCCGGCCAGAGGACTTCATCTACATCCCAGGCAATGTTGTCCCTCACCAGGCAACAGGCAAAAAACCTTCTGGGGTGGCGGATCCAGCCTTGACAAGACTGCACGTCTGTGTCACAGGCCAGTTCCATTGCCTGTAAGAGATTTTCCCTGGTATAAGGGTTTTGGTCATAGACCCCGCCATGCACAGAAAAACTCTATTGGGTTGAGGAAAGGGCTGTATGGTGGAAGGAACACATTTAAAAATTGCTGGTTGTTGTTGAACCACTCGTGTATTCGGACACCACGGTGAAAGCTGACATTGTCCCAAACCATGACATAAAAATGTTGCACTTCCTGCTGCTGACTGATGATCCTGTTGCTCTCGCTCAAACAAAACATTTCTTAGACCATCCAGAAATGTGAGAAGATGTTCAGTATTGTATGGCCCCAGGGCTGCATGTGCATGGAGAACCCCATGATTGCTTATGGCTGCACAAAGGGAGACATTTCCACCACGCTGACCAAGGACTTCCATCATTGGATGTTGGCCAATTACATTTCTGCTTCTTCTCTTCATAAGATTGAATCCTGCTTCATCTACAAAAATCCATTCATGAGGCCTTTCATGGAATCCAGTTCAAATTCTCTGTAAATTAAAATAGTCATTTACAGTAGTAAGTGATACTGAAAGACTTTTACAATAGTGTCTTTGTATGCACTCCTGATTTACATACACATCAACATAGTGCATATTACAGTAACTGTAGGCTAGAAGCTCAGAAGTGTACTGTCAGCATTAGCACTGACAATGTCTGAGTGTATACTTACTTGCACATACTGATGCCGTAGATCTTTGAACGTTTTGGATTTGCGCTCAAAGGGTACTCTGTATACTTGCTTCATGCGTATGCGTATGTATAAGTTGGAGGACACGGTCAATGGTAGAAAGGCTTACACTGTTGATTCCTTCACAATTTACTTTGTCTTCAATAACTGTTTGCTGAATTTCATGGAGTCGGATGGCAGTGCTTTGACAATATCAACAATTAGAACATCTTGCTCTTGGGAGAACACAGCAGTTCTTCTACCCTGATGTGGTCTCGCAATTCTACAACATTATAAAAAACAAACATACATGTAGTAAAGATATGATGGAAATTACTGTCAGGTCTGCTCGGCACGACCTGCCTCTCTTCTGCCTTTCTCTCTCCTGCTCGCTCTTTTTGCAGGATTAGCGCCTCAGCTGTATCGCATTTTGTAATCAGTGACTTGTGGGTTGTCACGCACAGCTGGAGCGCATCACTGTAATCACCCTCCTACCTTATTTATACCTCTGGCGGACGCTCCATCGTCGCTGTAACTCGCATACCCTGTAACAGACCTATTGTTGTGGTATGTATTATACGTCATTTGTTTTCCACGCTGACAGTTCCTGTGCTGTGGATCGCACTTTGTATGTTGGTTATATGTTTTGTGCTATACGGTCCACGCTGACAGTTCCTGTGCTGTGGATTACATTTTGTACATTGGTTATATGTTAAGTGTTATACGTCCACACTGGCAGTTCCTGTGCTGTGGATCTCTGAGTTTGTTTGTTTTTTCCATGTGGTTAGTTTTTTTGTTATCCACGCTGACAGTTCCTGTGCTGTGGACTTCCCTTTCCGTCCGTCTGTCCCCTTGGTTAGCTTGTCTATTCCCCTGTCCGTCCTGTTCCTCCCACTCTCTTGTTTTTTTTGCTGTTGGCCTGTCTTTTCCCCTGGTGTGACGTGGTTCTTTTTAAGTCCCGGATAAAAAGATGGCATAGTCGTATATGCAGTGAAAACCAATCATTTATTGTGCTCATCCCCAGGTGAAAAATAGCCCAATATTTACAAAAACGAATTAAAACAGTTTTTAGACATTTTCTCCCCCAGACAGATACAGCCTTCTATGCAGCTCAAAACCAACTAAAACTCATGGTGGAACCTGGGTCGCCTTTAATACCCTAGGGTCCGCCCCATCCCAGTCGCGTCACAGTGACGACTACTCACATGACACACACATCACCATATTTAACGGCTTTAGAAATGGCCACCACGTTTGAACCTACAAGATACACTCGACCCCGCAACTAAATCACGTGAAACCCGGTAAGTAATACTGCCACTTAACTATGTTGTTTTCTCTAGTGATGGGCAGATGAAGCTTCATGAAGCAATGAAGCCTTTCATCCAATTGGTTCACTCCAGCGCAAAGCTTCTTGAAGCTTCATTAGCTCTAGTAGGACATCTACTGGATGCAACAATAACAGTGAGGGTGGTTGAGGTTGGGGTGTGGACAATGATTGTGCTTTTGTAACGTTGAGGTATGGCCAGTGATTATGGTTTTGGGGACACATCATTGGTTTATTTAAAAACAACAGTTTCTCCACTGTGGCAGGTCTTAGGCGATTTCTTTTTCTCCATCAAACAGCCACATTTTGAATGGAGCCTGAGGGGTTTTTATCGCTGTCAAAACTCGCGGCAAAATCCGAACCACTTCCTGAATCAGTCACGTGGTACAGCCGGGCAGCCAGCGAGGCTTCGGACGTCATCATTTTCAGCTCCTCCCCTAAATGACGCAGGCCTCGATACGCGCATAGCGGAAACGCCCCCTCCCCTACCAGCACACGCTTCGAAGGCTCGATACGGAACGTCACATCACTAGTTCTCTTTATGCGCATGTAGAAGTGACGCTGTTTACTCCGTGTATTTGCGCATGTATAACTTATCAGCTACTCGTGACGGATCTACTCCGTCACACCTGGTCATCCCGGTCTCCTCCACCATCTCTACCCTACTTTGCTGTTTATATATGTTCATGACCCTTGTTATGTTGTTACTTTGTGTTTTGTTCCATTAAACCTCCTTTTTTTAACTAGCACCTGGGTCGGCAATCTTGAGGCACACTTGAGTCCTACCGCAGTTCTCCCTCACCCTCCTGGTGAGGGGGACTCAACCATAACAATTACTACTATACATAAAATGTTTTTCTTTATTTTTCCAGTTGACTTTACAGTTTGACAAAGTGAATTACTGATTGAAATAATGAAAATACAGTGTAAAAAATACAACCTGTTCTCTTCTCTGAATGCCCTGATTATGGTGGCCACAGAGAATCTGCTCAAGTTAGGCTGAACTCTTTGTCCTGCCTCCCTCATTGTCACTCCATGCACAAGAACATGGTCTATCACAGTAGCTCTAATTTCATCTGAAATTACTGTTCTCGGTCTTATTCTTCCTCTTCATCCACCACCTTGTATACACACACTTCCCCTCATATTGTTATCCATAGTTGGATGTACCCGTGCCATCTGTACACTTTGAACTGGCTTATATTTTGTACCTGCTCATCACATAATTAGAAACAAGTGTGAACAATTTTGAATCGTTGTGTGTAAACGATGACAACTGTGCTTTAGTTGTGTTTAAGTTTTGCTGTCCTGTGTTTAGTGTTTTGCAACACAAGTTCATCACAGTGTGAATTGTGTTTTAGTGAGAATGTGTTTAGAGTTTAGCAAAAAGAGTGCATGAGATTTGCAAACCGTGTTTAACTGCCTGAACTTGTTTAAGGTTTTGCAGAAAGAGTGATTTATTTGACAAATTGGTTTAAGCTGTTGAGAATTTGGTTCAGAGAATGGGGTTTATTGTCTTAGCAAATGTGAAAAACTGTAATGCAAGTGTTGCCATCATTTTAAAATGTATCATACAGCAACACGTCTGCACTGGTTTTTGTTCAAATGGCTTTATTTTGAAGTTGTAATGGTGTTAAAATGTTGGTGTGTGAATCCTTCCTGCTTCTTCATTCAGCCACCACAGAGCCTTACATTCAGAAACAGCATTAGGAACCTCTACAGGGAACATCGACACGAAACCGTAAAATAATTTTGACCATTAGTTGTACTGACTGGTGCCCCCACTCTGAGCGAACATGTCCTTCGGTGTTCGGCTGAGGCTCATGAAACTTGAACTGTCCCATGAAGCTCAGTAAAGTTGATGTCTGTTAGTTAGTCTGTGTAGTGCAAATTTCCTACTGACATTATCGATCATAGTTTCTCTAACAAATGTGAACCTAACAGCTGAGAACTATTTGTCCCCAAAGGGAAATTTTGCTTGGACTCATAATGGCATAATCATAATACACTGAATCAAGACTAGGCAGGATAAAAACACCAACAGTAAAAAGGACCAAGGAATAGTGTTGCTTTCGTCAACGAAAATTATGACTAAATATCGTCGTCAACAAACCTTTATTGCGTGAAGAAAACGAGATGAGACGCAACGAAAATGCTGGGAAGATGGATAATTTTTAAGACCAGTGATTTTCACAGTGGATTTTATCAGTCAGCCAATCTGAGATTTCAGCTGCTAGTTTTCGAACTGTAACTGGAGCTCTCTTAATCCCCTTCTTCTTCTGTACCGGTTTAATGGCACCGCCAGCTCCACCAGCTATTTATCTCCAACTCCTAATATTCACATGAAAGGTCTGAATGGAAATATGCAATAACTCACATCTTCCTGTGCCAGTTTTCAGGAACTTCAGTTAGAATTTGTGCAGCATTTGGAGGGAAACTTGACTAGAGAGAGAGAGGTAGCATCTGACTGGAGTGAGGGAGTGCCATTGACTAGGGAGAGAGAAAATGGGACTTACTGATTCAACAAGAGAGTGAAAAAGGCACAAGAAATAGGATGGAGAACGAGAGACGCTTAAGAGTGAGCGAGCCGAGTCAGAGAGAGAGAGCGAGAGAGCGCAGGAGATCCCAGTGAGAGAGCTGCAGAGAGGCAGCACGAGGAGAGTAACAGCAGAAATTCATCCAGCTCCTCAGCATCACTGAAGACGACAACAACTTACTGACACTCTGGAAACCACAAGAATTTCCTTCATCTATTTCTTCTTCTTTTCTTAGGGACATACAGTAAGAGACATGGAAATATCCCAAGATGAAGGTTTAATGGAGCTGAAGGAACACTGAGTCAGACCTGTGCTGTTTTGTGCAGGACTTGGAGACTAACTGACAGTTTCCACTGAGGTCTTGTGCAAACAGAAGGAGAAAGAATGTAAGGAATATTTCAGCTCTGTGGAGGGCTGACACTGTTATTGCACAGAGGAATGTTTTCACTACGAGTCAGGAGTTTGATATTGCCAGACTGAAGTGTGTGTGAAGGAAAGAGAAGTTAGTGAGGTGTCTGTGGGTAACACACTCATAAACTCATCAGATATCATCATGTTCATCATCCATCTCTGTTGACCGCCGATACTCTCCCAGGTGACAAGACGGCAACGATACTCGAGGACGTACACACACACACGGTGAGTGAATCTGTGCAGTTCTGACATTCAGGGTAAACCTGCAGATTCTCAGCTCAGCTCATTAAAATGTGACAAACTGATAAAGTTTTGTGATAATATGGGATGAAGCTGCAAAGGTTAGAGCTTATTTCCTTGTATTCTCGGCCATTTGCATTGTGGAACTCAAAGACTAAAGCTCATACTTTGAAGCGTTGAGATGAAATTTTATCTTGTAACACCCTAAACATCATATGGACCTAATATTTTTTAACCTGAGTGCAACTTGGATGGGAAACCTGCTGTTTCCGCTGCTCAGGCTTCAAATGGATTCTACAACCAGACGATGAGGAGATGCTTCTTGTAAAACAGCCTGAACATATGTGAATCAAAATCAACATTTGGCTTCAGCTGGAACATTTCTGTTTTGCTTTCCCAGGGGTGCATGGCACAGACCCAGTGATTTAATTTGTATCTATTCAGCATTGTTCTTTGAAAGTGAACAGCTGCTGTCTATTTTTGTTTCCCTTGTGTGGAAAAAATCATCATCTCCTGAGCGTCTGGCAAACAATTTGAGGCTTGAAAGTTTCCTACGAGATGATGGAGGCAACATGTGACAGAACATTTTGAATGACCAAAGTGTTAAATGGTGTTATGTTCATGGTGGCCACCTGGGGAGGAAATGGAAACAAGACTTTCCCCTTGCATCTTCCACCCTGACCCATTTTCCAGGCAGCGGCGCTCCGGCGCTTCACTCTCTGGCTGTGACGGTGTTACCGGGCAGACACCATGAACCTGCGTGGTGCCAACGTGTCAAAGGTGATCTCCAACACTCTCAGAGCTGTTACCACTGTGGAGTCCAGCCCATGGTCTCCACGTGGTTTTGAGGAAAGCATCAATAATGTGACCAACCCGGGGTGTCATGGGAACAATATGGTCCATAACAGCATCGATGCCCAGCTGGGCAACTGGTCTTATCATAATGCTGGAGGAGTTTATGGTGAGGACAGGATTTATGGACCTCGGTGTCCTGCCCAAGAAACGGGCCTGGAGAAGAACTGGGCGGCACTGCTGATTCTAGTCATCATCGCCGTCACGGTCATGGGCAACGTCCTGGTGATCCTCGCCGTCTCCCTGGAGAAGAAGCTGCAAAATGCCACCAACTATTTCTTGATGTCACTGGCAGTCGCCGACATGCTCCTAGGCATCTTGGTCATGCCGGTCTCCATGGTGACCATTCTCTACGGTAAGTGCAGAGTGACACTGATACTGGGCTTCATTTGTCATCTGGTGTGCTGCTGGGTTGGGTCCAAGACACACACTGTTTGTCTCCCAGATGAACTGTTACTTGGCCAGACAAACTGAAAGTCCAAATCTTATTTTTAATGACAGCCTGAATAGAAAAAGATGATTTGTGCCGAGCTGATGACTGAGTGCTGATGGAGAGCAGCAGTGATGGAGGTGTTCAGTGTTGCTGACAGTAATGTGTTAATTTGGAGTGCTGCTTCAGTGGCTAAATTGGTGCGTGAACAGAGATGAATGAAAGAGCCCACTGGTCAATGTGGACGCATTAAGTCATCAGCCTTGAATGTTACTGTGATGCACAAATAAACAGAGTGTACATACATCAAATGAAAGAAGCCACTGCACACTAGAAACAAGTTCACCCACCAAGCTGGATCACAGCCAGAATCAACCATCGTGTGTCAGTTTGTTTACGATTGTTCAATAAATACAGAATTATTAGTAACATATAGCATGTGAGCACAAATCAGCATGATTTTGGCTGATGGAGCCGCTTCAGTCGTCATGGTGACCTGTGCTGACAACCGGCTTCACTAGAGTGCGACAGGACTCTTACATGCTTTGTTTTAATTAACAAAACCTGTTTACATTAGTTCAAGACGAAATGATCTCATGTTGCTGGTTGCAGATTGCATGTTGCAAATTTGGTGAAACGGGCCTGATTCGGGCCTTTCGCTGGTCTCATGGGTACGGTGCTGTAGTAGCTGGAGAAACTTGTCATTCTAGAGTAAAGTAAAAGACAACTGTGTAACTAAACAGAAATAGCAGACACATATGGTCTCTTCAGTCTTCATGTAATAATTCAGTATCTCTTCTCGTATCTCTTCTGAACATCTGTTAGTTTTTTGGTTTGTCTCTGGTGACGGACTTCGCAGTTTCTGCACTTTGCATTAGAAATACAGTGTGTTCCTACATGTGTAACCCTACGTGTCATTCTCTTCTGTTCCTCAGTTCTGCAACAATGTACAGTTCATAAACAGCACATATGGACACTTCTTAGTTTAACAAATATCTAGTACGATAAGGACCAAGAGTGTACAGAACTGCGTCTCAGCCCTACTAATGGCATCAGTTCTCCCACGCTGCCACTGCCCTCGATCTGCCTGTCATTACTATCAGCAAGAAAAAACCTGAACCTCTCAGTCAGGGTCTTTTCATCCCTTTGGTTCTCACAGTTGTATAACTGTGTCCATTATATAAAGAGAGCATAAGCACAGAGCAAAACACTGACCAAGGTTGGCATTACTTTGTGTCCTAACAAGTGGCTCAGCTGCACAGAGTTGCTTTGAGGCAACAAACGGTCACAGTTTAGGAAACATACAGAAACATACATTTATCTTATGTGTTGTGGAACTGTGTCACGTGTGGCTCTGCCTTCTGACAGAAATGAAGCATTATACACTTCAAAAACCCCTTGACATTTAGACCATTTTAGAGCAAAGTTACTCAAAAAAAGGACAGAGCCATTGTTCCAGTCTCAAGCTTTTGATTTTAGCTTTTGGTGTCAGGAAACAACAGCTGATAAATACCAGGTGTGCAAGCTGATTGCCTCAGTTTCAGCTCCTCAGCACACAATACAATGTAGTCACAACCAGAGTGACACCTCTCCGATATGAGCATCATTTGAAACGGTCACGTGATTTTTGACATGGTGACATGAGGCACTGAAACACTTCTGCTTTGAAATTGTCAAGCAGCTGCTTTGAACATAACAGCACTGCTCTAGATCTGGCACTAGATAAAAAGTCACAGGGGCACCGAAGTCAGTAGGAGCCACCCTCTGAGAATCACGAATGTCTGTAGGACATTTCATAGAAATCATCCAAATGCTGTTGAGATATCTCAGTATAAATCGACCGACAAGACTAAATGGCATCGTCTTCCCTAGAGCTGTGCCACTAGCAGGACTAATAAGTCTTTAAAGTATGAATACAGTCAGGGGAAAACACCTGCAGAACCTCTGGCTCTGCCCTCTTCTGTGTCAGAAGGCTGCTGTCATTCCTTCCTGTTTCCTCTGTTCTCCCTCA